CTGACCTAAGTCTCATGCTTCTCGACACTCACCAGCCAGCAAGGCATATCTGAAACTGCCTTCAAGGAACTCATGACCCTCTTCTGAGATTTGAACCCGCATCACACAGTGCTGCAGTCAGATACGTTACCACTGAGCTATTCGAGCTCATAGTTTCAACGACAGGCGGAACGGACGAAGGAAAGGAAGGATACGCCTTCATCAACCTGAAACCAGTTTGGAAATCTTTCGCTGTCACTCAACATAAGGAACAAGATTCACATTTTCAACACCAATGTGAAGTCGGTCAGTCTACACGGGTACGGGTCAGAAACTTGGTTAGCGTGTAACAAAGAGGATTCCTAACAGACTGCAGACTTTCATCAACAGTTGCCACCTTCGCTGGCTCCATACTGAAGATAAAATGACCAGAAAGAATAAGCAACAAGAAACTCTGTGGTGGAACAAACCAACCAAGAGTTGATCGCTCAACAAATATGTAGGAGAAAGTGGAGATGGATCGGGTATACCCTGTGGAGGCCATCGAATGACATCGCACGACAGGCCCTCGAGTGGGGTCTAAATGAGAAGCGAAGAGTGGGTCGTCTCTGCGAGGGTGACATGGTAGAGATCGTGTGGGGGAGAGATAAGAGAATTTGGTCAGTCGTGAACCCAGCTGAAGAGGGTGTCAGAAAACAGAACAAAGTGGAGATGTGTTGTTGAAGCCTTGTGTTCCACTAGGAACTCAAGGGAATAATAAAAAATAAAATATTGGAGCTGGCGATTGACCTCCTGTAGGACTATATTGGATACTAGTTAGTAACTAGTGTCCAATCAAAAGATATGATGGTCCTAGGACTTGTAGTGACCTAACAGGCTGTATTGCACTGGCTAGAACGAATGTTTTTCCACGTCCTACCATTTCAGTGAAGTCCTTTGGATAGAGATTAGATTAAAAGCAGTTACCATAAGTGTGCAAATTCTTCAGACCATACTGGAGATTTGAGGGTGAAGTTGTACTGCTGGCGATTAGGGATGTAACGGCAGTGAGGTGTTTCCCAAAAATGACCAGTAAGTCGGCTATGCAAACTATGTGTGACCAGCCTCAAGCAGTCGTCTCCTGGGCTCTGGGGTCAAGCATAACTAATCCTCATTCTATATCAGGTACTCATAGAAGAAATCAACCCCCATGGTGTAAGCAGTCAGGGAGTAGTAACCACCTACATACACTTTCATCTGCTGGTATGTGTCAAAAAGCGAGAAACAGCGTTATCAAGTAACAGTTACTTGTGAATTACATTAAGTTACTGAAAAATAGTCGAATATCTTATAGTGGCGGTTAGCAACAAAATCTAGGAAACTCTTCTTGACCCATTCGTGCACCTCCCTGAATGATGGATATCCCGTTTAATATCCAATGTGAAACCCTTTGACTATAAAGTAAGAGTGCTATCCTCTCGTCTACTGAGTCAGAAAAGCCACTACTTATTTTGGCGTTATACAGGTTATTTTAACTACAGTCTTTATACTTTCATTTATTGGCAATCTGACAACCCAATGATCCTGCTTTCGCTAACTTACACCGTCTCTGGCGTAGGCGTGACATCCGGCTGTCAACCAAGGGACGTGTGTACTGCTCAGCAGTTCGCTCCGTCCTTCTCTATGGCGGTGAGACGTGACCATTGAGAGCGGAAGACATGAAGAGATTGTCTGTTTTTGACCACAGATGTTTACGATCTCTTTCTCGCGTTAGGTGGTATAATAAGGTAAGTAATGTTGACGTTAGGCGTAGAGTGTTGGGCAAAGAGGGAAAATCAATCGATGAGGCTATAAAGTTACATAGATTGAGATGGTTAGGTCGCGTGCTGCGCGTGCCTAGCCATCGCCTCCCCCGACGGGCATTACTAGCTGATATAGGTGCAGGTTGGAAAAGAGTAAGTGGTGGCCAAACAAAAACATGGCCTCATCAATCCATGAAATCCCTGACAGTTAAACTGAGTCAGGTAGGGAGATGCAGACTTCCGGGTTGGGGCCCTCGGGACTCTAAGAATCAATGGCTGGAGACGATAGGCGACATGGCTCAAAATCGTTGTCAATGGCTTACGCAGATGTATTCAGTCTCTGTAATCCTTCATATTCCTTTCTACCATTACTCATTCTGTTTCACTCTTATACTTATCTTAATTCTATTGATTCTCTTCTCTCATTTTCCTGTCTACCTTTGTGTGCTATTTGGAACGTGGCAACTCGAACTGCTGCACTTCGCTGCCAAGTTCTATGTTGAATCCAGCAGCAGCAGCAGCCAATGATCCAACTTTTTGATAAAATCACCCACTCCATCTTCCGTTTAGACAGTAAACATTGTTAAGTCATTATTTTATTTTCAACCTGCTGTACCCTACTGGTCACGGCTTTCCACTAGAACCCCAAGTTAACTGCCTGAATAGGGCCAGTCACTAGTGACCATCAGATTAATTTTCAAGTATTGGATTTGTAGGGATTTTGTTTGATTGCATGGAGGATTTCATCATGAGGTGACATCAGTTAGAGAACCACTGGAAAACCTGGGAGTACTGGACAGACCTTCCGTCCTAGTTTGGGACTATTCAGCAGTACGCACCCACCACCACGGTTCGAACCCAGGACCTTCTGGTTACAAGGTGAACTCGTAGACCATTGAGCCACTCGGACCAGATCCAATGGTCCTTGAATTCTAACTTCTGCCAATTCACGACATAGCACGACCATTTCGCAATGTCTTCTTCGATGAGAGTCCCAAACTAGGACGAAACAGCCGTCCAGTACTCCCAGGTTTTCCAGTGGTTATCTAACTGATGTCACCTCATGATGAAGTCCTCCATGCAATCAAACAAAATCCCTACAAAACCAATACGTTAAATTAATCTGATGCTCACTAGCGACTGACCCTATTCAGGCAGTTAACTTGGGGTTCTAGTGGAAAGCCGTGACCAGTAGGGTACAGCAGGTTGAACATGAGGCAGTAACTCATCGAAGAAGATATTATTTTATTTTTTCTTTATTTTTTTTATTATAGCTTGATTCCACACAGTATTTTTGGCACAACTATGGAATTTTCAGCATATGATATTGGTAGCCCAAATTTAGCAGGCCAGGCATTGATATCAGGTGTGCGTGCGCTGGGGATCGAACCCTGGACCACATGCATGGTCGGCGAGCGTCCTAACCGCTGTGTCACTGACGCACACGATCTTCTTTGTTCACTATTGTTTCGGTGTTTGTGTTATGACCGAATTGGAATGGCATAAAAGCGTACAAACGGATTTCAAGAATTGAAATCATCATTCCGCAGTTGGACCATTCTTTTAGTTCTTCAAGACAATCTTATTTAGTACACAAACTGAGCCTTAAGAAATGATATCGTACACACAAGATCTTCATACTGCAGTATACCAGATACAATCCCGTCCAGTAGTAACAGAGTGACACATTCTTAAAATTCATCTATCCATACGAATTGGCTTCCTTAAGGTATGACGAAATCATACAACTGGAGACAAGGAATCAGAAGTACTTACTGGTCCGACTGAAGAGATCGAAACATCGGACGACCGTTTGGGGTCCAGCTCGTCAGCGGTACACCCGGTTCGACTCGGATGAGACGGCTGAATCACCAGAATTCTCGTTAGCTACTTGAGCAAACGACAGTCTCATCTTTGGATGACTGCAACCTAGTTAGCAAGTACTACCACCAACCACACACTGGTATATACCACCCATCATACAAAAATGCTTGCTTTTGTGATTGCCATTCGCACTATCAAGCACGCCGTATATATTGTGATCCGAATTATTCCGGTTACCAAGAAAAGAATTTTCACGTATAAGTCACATATTGTGTGATTAGGAGCTGATAACACGACTCAGTTGACACCCAGGTTGAAGTAGGCGGAGAGGAATTCGAGCTAGGAACCTGTCGACTGCAAATCGAGTCATAACGCCAAAATAAGATACTTCAACATTCCACAGGCCTACACTGTCCATACGGAGATGCACGAAACACCCACCGAGTCGGGCAGTAACTGAAACTCATGTAATTCTTCCCCAACTACCACCTGAATTTCAAAATAATTGAATAAGGACCACCAAGGAAATATGGTCAATGTAATTATATAAATGAACAAAATTAAAATATATAGATATATATATACATATAACTCACTACAGTTGATTCGCATAGAGCACAGATTAGCATAACTTGTTGATAGATTGACAATTCATGGAAGCGTTTTTCATCTAACGGATTCGACTTGTAACCACACACATCAAAGAAAGCTTTCGGTAATCCTAATCGATATGTTGCCTAATGGTAGTAGTAGTAACAGTAGTAGTCAGGGGTAAAAGGAAAAAATAGGAAGTTAAATTATGACAACAACAACAATAAAATGAAAATTTAAGGTAACTACGTACTGAATGGCTGAACCTCAACATAAGACTTTGCACACAAGTACAGTACTTCAGGTAGCCACACTCCATGTGTACCACACAAATATCGGGAAGAAGAAAATATCCGAGAGAAATGTAATGGACAGAAATGTTTGGGGGGAAAAATAAATACATAGAGGAAGATGAGCCCTTAATGGATCTGAGAGGTGATATAGAGAAAATGCAACTGTACCACCACCAGTGAGAACGGTTATGAGCCATGTCATCAACAGTTTCCATTCTCAAGGACTTCAACCAGGCAGTCTACAACTCTCTAAGTGGTTTACAAACCAAAAGTTAAGGACTCCGTAAGTTGATGGATTTGACCACCCGCTAACTCTTTTCTAACCTCATCCTATGTTAGCTAACATTACCGGACAAGAAAGGTGGCCAGTAATATAGTGAATGATATTTAGTATTCTCAAGGCTTCCATCACCACAACCTACAACTCCTTTTAGGCGTTTCCAATCAACAAACAATGACTTCGTGCTATTTCTCAGTATTCTCCGTCCCTTCAACTTCAAACAGAACATAAGGCTCCGGCGGTACACTGCCATTTCACACCGGGGTTTTTTTCGCTGTCTTTCTTTTAGTATGGATCCACGATTACCCGCAAGTTCTTAATTCACAATTTAGAAATTATTCAGTAATCAATATTTTCAACTTGTGCATGAATCCAAATGTCTTTAAAAGTGAATTTCGACTTTTGTGAAGAAACTGTCGACGAACGAGATTTCGACAATGGACTCGCGACAAGTCAGTTAAAACACAGTTGTATTATTTATTATGATTAGAACAAGAACTCGAGAAATTATCAGGCATCAAAAGATGCACCAGACAAAATCCCATAGTTTGTGCGAGACCTGGGATACTTCCCGCAGGCACGCCTACACGAAAGCCGGTGATGGTCTGCTGAGCCTTCGATTTGAAGTCTGATCAACAAGGCAGTAGAGCAGCATCGGGATCTGTTACATTCTCATAGATCCCGATGACTAAAACTGGTCCACGCGCTATTCAATCCATTCGGATTCTTGCCCATAGGTTTCGAATAAAGGTATTCCAGCTCCCCTAGGTATATCAGAATGTCCACCAACAGTACAATTGTAAGTGTTAAATATCAGCAACCACCCTTTCACTTTTGTAAGGAACATCTCCGCCATGTGAAGGCAGTGAATAGGACTTACGTGGCAAAGGCCAGAATGCATGGCCAAATGAGAATACATCGAGAGGAAGATCAAAGTCCACTAACTGTCAACTGTACCAGATTGTCTGGAGAGCAATTTACACTTCAATACTTAAACTGTAAGGCATAAGTTTATGACCCAGTGCGCCTGAGAAATTAACTCATTTCAACTTTAACTACTATCAAATTTATCAGTAGTATCTTACCGTGCAGAACTATTTTAAGTTTCAACTGAAGACAAAACTCGTGATTAAGTAAAACAAAATAAGGGGATTTAGGACCAGATGAGTAGAACCTGGTTAAATTCCTTGCATACACTTCAAAGATGATACAGAGCACTACGTTGAGAGTACATATTCTTTCTTCATTCTCTGTATTCCAAGTGGAAGCGAAGATTCTGTAGCAGTGGTATTGTATTTTTAAGGGATGAGGTAGCCCAATCGTTCCCCTTTTCCGTACGGTTTACTAATGGCTAGTAAAGTAAGTGAGATTGAAAAGTGTGCCAACCGGGAATTGAACCAAAGATCAAACTTGGAACCAATCAAATCCCTACAAATCAACACCTAGAAAAGTACTCTAGTGCTCACACCAATAACTGACTACAAGATGAAATTGTTAATATGTGTAAAATCTGGAGTATGGCAGTATGTAATTCCATATTAATTTGTTTAATAGATATATAACATAGTGAAACAGTATTATTGTTTGCTGGATGACGAGGTTTCGAACAAAATTTATCCTTCATAATCATATAAATTATAATCACACGACTTCGAAACTTGACTTATATAGTTTTCTTTGTTCTCTCCTATTTGTCGTCATTGGGGTAGTAGAATTTTTCAGATGTCCTGGTGCACATGTGTTAAATCATTCCTATTACATGTATTTGCAGTTGATCCGATAAACAAAGCTTCTGTTACCAATCTCTCCCTCCACCCTGTGACAGTAATCCTTGTATTATCTTTGAACATTTCCCTAAGTTTTTTGTCCTCAGCTAGTCTGACTGACCCTATTCTACCAATGTGACCTATGTATTTGACCTGACAATCATTCCAGGCAGGGTATTACATAAACAAAGTTGTTTCGTTTAATTGGCTCCACAGCAGGATCCTTCTCAGCCGACAAAGCTTATTTGTAATTGAATTTGTGGGCGATTTAAATGCCAGCCACTTTTATTCCTGCCTGCATTCTTCAGAATTCTCCGTAAGGTTACTGATGTCCCTCCCTTCTTTGGTATGGAATTACCACTGATGATTTAAATGCCTTATTGTTGGTCGTTGTTGTCATTATCCTGCCCATGTTTGACATGCATATCGTCATTAATATAATTATTATTATGATGATGATCACTATCACCACCACAACTATAAATTTTATTTTTACATTTCCCTACACACTTCTTGACTAATTTATCAGGGTAATTATTAAAATAGATTTTCAAAGCTTCTCTTATATACCTCACTTCCTGTCGTCTTAGACTTTTTTTGTACCCTATTACCTAAACACATTTCACCAATCCTATTTCTACTGATCACTGATTGATGAGGTGATCCGAAATCCAGATATCGCATCATCCCATCCTTTATAAGTATGAGCAGAGAGAGACGGATTAAACTGCGAAAAAACAACACGGGGAATGAAGACCAACAACAACAACAACAAGTGGAACATCACGAAGACTTGGCGCTAGTATTGGAGTTTCAACGTTAAAACAGGCTATTGCATTTCAAACCACAATTGTATGTAATTTCGGCCTTATGAAATAATTCTTTTAACAAATACAATATACGCTTCTGTGTTCTATGTTCTACAGTTACACAATTGGGGTTTATTGTCTTCCCAGCATGGGTATTTTGTATAAATTATTATGCAGACGCACAGAACATCGAAACTATAACGGTGATAAGTTGATAAGCTGAGTAGAATTCACTTAAAAATAAACGAAAATGGAGTTAGCAACAGTCGTCATGAGGGTAGAGATTTAATAGAGGGTGGGGGTAGAAAATAATGCAATATCTACACAATACGTGGGAATCTTGCCAAAAGAGTACGAATTAAACTTCTTCAAACTGCAGAAGCAATGGCAATTCACATATTGAATCCTGAACTCTGCATACAAAAGAAGCTTGTTCAGTCACTAAATCTACAATGGTCTTGATCTATCTCAACACCAAATACGTAATTTTGTCTTACCTCTTTCTTCTTTGTTTGTCTGTTTCTTAATTGCATTATTTTCTACCCCCACCCTCTATTAAATCTCTACCCTCATGACGACTGTTGCTAACTCCATTTTCGTTTATTTTTAAGTGAATTCTACTCAGCTTATCAACTTAACTCTCATCCATTTTCAAGTGAATTCTACTCAGATTATTAACTTGACTAACGGTGATAATATATCGTGTACATCGCATATTGACTCTGTAAAATATAACTACTTTTTCAATATTTGAATGTTTCAACAGCCCCAGTTTGTGTTGTACTTTGGATATAGTTGCAGTAGTAATAGTAACAGTGGTAGTTTTTTTCTATTCCTTTATGTTCCCAGTGGAACATAGGACTTCAAGCTTCTTGGGCTTTGAAGTTTCAGTAGCAACGGTATTTAATTTTTCGAGATGGGGCCTCATGCCCAACCTTCCTTCTTTGCCAGTCTTATTACTGGCTTAGTGAGGTAAAGGAGGGTGTCTGTGGCCAGGGATCGAACCCCGAACCACCTGTGTGGTTGGCAAGCATTCTACCGCTATGCCACCGACGCAGTAGTAATAATAATAATAATAACAAAGCTAATCAATAAAACATTTTATAGACCACTTGAGAACAAGACACCAATGTCAATGTTATTTTATACATAATCAATGGTATGACAAAGAAAGACCAATAAACATTACGTTGACACCTTTTATAACCTTGAACTGACTTGTCAATTTTCCTACCCCCATTACGTTGACTGTTTTACACGTTAAAGCTACTTAGTATATCTTCGTCTAATTGTACATATCTTACACCAAATCAATAAATGTGAGCTCGATGTGGTGTTCAAGTTTGCATATCATCCATAATCTAATGTGCTAACACTAGGGGGGAACGAATATTCCTACGGTATCTGGAAAGCACTTACCATTATAATGTAAGTCGTTTAAATTATGTCGGAGGTTGTGAGGGCGAATAGGGATGTAATATAAGTAGAGTGTTTCCGCCTCAGGTGAACAGTAAGCCAGATAGTCTGAGGAGGATATGGACACAACTTTAAAAATAATTTTAAACAGACCGTGTGTGTGATCGGCTCTAAGAAGTTGTGTACACATTGCTGTGGTCACGTGATACTAGTGGACCTTCTATTTCAACTTTCACTACGTCTTGGCAGTGTAATAACTGACCACACACACACTTCCGTAACTACTTTCATATACCTTAGACACTGAAGACTAGCAAAGAATAATTAAATAGCTTTCAATCTACTTTAATGCCTCAAAATTACTTATTTGTTTCAACTTGAATACCTGAAATAGATCTCTTTAGGTGTACCAAGCAAGGAACCACACTATTTTGTGTGTGTGTGTGGGTGGGTGGGTGTTTATGGGCAAATGATAATACGTCACTGTCCAAACCACGGTAGATGAAGCAGAGTTCAAACCCATAGTAACCCTGCGGTTGGAAGTAAAGCGCCCACTCTCATGAACCAGGGCTCCACTCGCCAACTAACTAACATGTACATATACACAGACTCATATCAAGTAACTGATAATATTATGAAATTCAGGAAACTATCAATCGGGTAACAATATAATACTGACATCAGCTGACTACTCAAAAGTGAAATAGTAGCATAAAAAACTGAATTGGAAAATAATAACAAAGTGTATTTTTTTTAAGGATTTGATTTGTTTCAAGTTTTGTCATGGATTGATATCAATTAGAGAGACACTGAAAACCAGAGAGTACTCAACAGCTGTTTCACAATCTAGCTTGGGACTCTTCATCAGCACGCACCTATGACTTCACCCTGGCACGTTGAACATTCAGCCATTAGGACGGAATCCTACAAATTAAATTAACGCCTGAAGTTGTAGTGAAAAGTTGCAATAAGCGAGGTCTCCCTGGTCGGATTCTAGGACAAGTAATCGCCCACTGATGGTGGTCCCGCTGAGATAGCGAACTGTGACAGAAGTTAGAAGTCATAAGCAGCCATCGGATTCCATCCCAGTGTATGGCTAAATGATCAACGAGTTCGCCGCCTTCTGGCTTGAAAGTTCTAGGGTCGATTCCATCCTTAGTGAAATCACGGGTGTGAACTGATGAAAAGTCCCGAACTCGGACAAAACATCTGTTCAGTACTCCCTGTGGGTTTTCAATGGTTCTCTAACTGATACGAATTTACGGCCAAACGAGAAGATAATGTAGTCGATTTTTGATTTCATAAAAACACATACTCTTCAAAACAAGAATCAGGTTCACATAATATTTACACCACCGACTGAATACATAATTTTATTTATGATAAACTCAGTAAAATTTTAAATTACTAATGTGTTAGGAACTGTTGGTCGGCGGTTCAGTGGTACAATAGTGCTCGCCAACTCTACGTGTACAGAAGGTCTGGGTCCGATTGCCATCAGCCGATGCATTTTTCAACCTCGCGCTACTAAAGTAGCTAGTAACTACTAAGCCCAGAAAAGAGGGACAGCACAACGTGATTGGTGAGGCTAGCAACTTCACACCCCGGTAGAAGTGAACAACACCACTGATATTCAAAAGTTTAAACACTGAGGCTTGAAGAGTTACATTATTATTTTCCACTTGGAACACAAAAAAAAGCAAACAACTCAGATAACCATATTTCACTTACCCATTCAACAACACCTTTACCTTTATCCCAAAATGATCGATACCATGAATCAACTCGTGCTGACAGTCGACGTTCCCATATATCATAATCAAGTGGTGGAAGTGTAGTTGTATTGGACATCAGCTGACGGGAACGTCTTGCTGCTGAAGTAGAATAATCTATTGTTGTATTGGAGTTTGCTCCAACACTAAGATTACTATTACTATTGTTATTAGCACTATTAGTATTAGTAGCAGTAGTGGTAGTATTGCTCAACACATTGACAATTTGATTCCTCTCCTTTGGTGTTGCCAATAGATTACTCATGCATACATTGAGTACTAGACTAGCGCATGGTGCTGTACACAATCCGATTTCTAAGTCGAATAATGACAGGCTACGTGTATGCGTTGTAGTAGTGGATTGAATTGAATTGACTGCGAGATTATTATGATTATTATGATTATTATTGTATATGGTTATACAATCACTTATACCCAAGAATGGATCAGCCAACCATAAGAATTGATAAGCTTCTAAAAGCTGAAAAGACAAATGATATATATATATACATATATAGAAAAAAAATCAATAGACATACGACTGTTATTCTTAAAAACCGAAAAATCTGATAAACTGCAATCCCATTATATAAAGAAAGTTAATTAGTTATAGGAACAATTAATTACTCGTCCATATAATCTTCTAATAAAAACCCTTAGTTGTTTAATTATGCCTTTTCCAACTTTTTGAACCGTCCATCCACACATTGATAAGTGAAGAATCTAATGATATTAGATAGTTGGAAGTAATCGGCCATAGGACTCACACAAAAAACTTGGAGGATCTGGACTTCACCGATGATATATATGTCTGATTTCCCACAAACTGGAAGATATGCAAGCGAAAAGCAACAAGTTGGCGATATAAGAAGCATCAAAGATAGGACTTCCTTCAGGTGAACATAGAGAAAACAGAGGTGATGAAGATTCCTGAGCAACACCACCAACAGCAACAACAACAACAGACAACAATCAGCATTAATGGGCGGAACCTGAAAGAAACAACCTCCTCTACCTACCTGGGAAGCATCGTTTCAACTACAGGCGGACGGAACTGAAGAGGATATCAAAGCAAGGATCGGGAAAGCAAAACAAGCTTTCACTACTCTCAAGTCTGTGTGGAGGTCAACAGCACCCAGCATGAAAATGAAAATAAGATCCGGATTTTCAACTCGAATGTGAAGTCAGTCAGTGCTACTATACGGATCAGAGAATTGCACTGCGCGTCATGAAGAGCATCTCAAACAAACTACAGACCTTCATTAACAGTTGTCTTCGCTCAATACTACTCAAGATCAGATGGCCGGTCAGAAAAGATCAGCAACAGAGATCTCTGGGAGCGAACCAACCAAGAAGCGATTGTGAAACAAATAGGCAGGAAGAAATGAAGATGGATTGGTCATACTCCGAGGAAACCATCAAGGGACATCACTAGACAAGCCCTTGAGTGGAAACCGAAAGGGAAGCGACGAGTTGGTCGTCAGTGCAAGGGTGACTTGGAGGAGATCATGTGAAGAGGAGATGAAAACGTGTGGGCAGACTTGGAGCCAGGTGAAGACTCTAGCAGAGAACCGAACGCAATGGAGACGCACGGCTGAAGCCCTATGTTCCTCTAGGAATTAAAGGAAACAATAATAATATTATAATAATATATCAATTTCTACAGCCGACAAATGACCAACGGTTGTGTGAAGGATAAACTGCCGCTTTGGGCCACCTCAATGTGTGTTTATAAATTCACCCGCTCGTGTGGAGCTAGTTACATTGGCCGCACAAAGCGCACGCTTTCCAAACACATCTCTGAACATTAGCAAAGGGAAAGTGTAAGACAATTACTAGCTCAGTTCTCGAGCATTTGGTGAACTCAGGCCACGTAGCCCCATCAGAGTCGTCGTCTTTCAAGATCATCTACAAAGTGAAGCCAAATGGTACAAAGGGCGTCAGGTTTCGGCTTTTGTATATGGCAGAGGCGTTGGCAATTCATCACTACAACCCTGAACTCTGTATACAGAAAAAGTTTGTCCAGTCTCTTATTCTACCTCTTCACTAATCGTTCCTTGTAAATAAAAAAATATTGATTTTTTCTTTTCATTTTAATTTTACTTTTAGTTTGCTTTTGCTTTAATAATTAATTCACTATTATCACTCTCATATGCTTCTTTTGTATATTTTCACACCCTTTTCACAATTGTTAAATTGACACTCGAATACCTTTATTGTCACTCAATAGCAATTTTAACCCTATCAAATTTCTATCTTTGTACCATGTAATTTACAACTTTTACTTTTCACTTCTTAAGCCACTTCCGAGTAATTATATCAATTATGTCACCCCCCACCCCTATTACTCAATAATAGACTACTATACATTTTTGGTAAATATAAATACGACTGTATACACCCTCTGAAGATGATTTCGTCGATAAAGAAAATTTTCTTCGCTGAATCTGTCTTTTATTTTCTTCATGACTCAATGGGTATTTTCGGTGAGTTATAGGATTAATTAATTACTCGTTCATATAATCTTCTAATAAACCCTAAGTTCTTTAATTATGCCTTTTTTCAACTTTCTGAATCATCGATCCACACATGAATAAGTGAAGAATCTGGTGATATTAGAGAGTTGGAGGCAATCGGCCACGGGAAGCCTTGTTTGACCTAGGTTTCGTGCTAGTTGGCACTCACTACCTTGAAGGAACAACTCATGTCCCTCCTACTGAGATTCGAACCCGCGTCACCCAGTGCTACCTGCAGTCAGTCAGAGATAGACGTTACCACCACTGAGCTATTCGGGCTAGCGATTGACCTCCTGTAGGACTGTAGTGGGTATTTTGATTGGACACTAGTCAGTAACTAGTGTGACGTGTGAAGAATCTGTACAATCGCAGTTCAGTATTCCTATGAGTTCGGAGTGCAACACAGGACTTCAACAACATATCTCCATTTCATTCTCTTTCGATGGATCCACGATTCCCGCCCATAAGCTCTCATCTCCGCCTTATACGATACCCCCCCCCCGGCACCCTCGGACCCAGACTCAACTCACCATTTCCCATTTAGATTCCAATCAAACGATGCGTTGGAGCACGATGTTACCCAAAGGTGTCCATTTTCCTAGGCATATTTTGTTAAGCAACAGGTTCTTTGTTGGGTCGTTCCCAGAGTTTCTGATCTTCAGTAAGAAATGAAGGCAGCTTTTTCGTGATACGCCAAGTTTCTGACCCATACAGAAGAACTGACTTAACACCATCTAGTTTACTAGTTCACCAATTTTCTAGCTGGTACCAAGCCCAAGGAATAGTGGGGAGGTTGGGTGATTGTATATATAAAATGCTATCGTACAGTTAAGGCGGAAAATGAATTCTCCTGAAAAAGCCTCTTCACTAGACACTACCTGTATGGCTTTCCGTTAATGCCGTGATGGGAACTATTCACTTCTCTTTATTTCTGGACGCCAATGGTTTGACAAATTGACTGAAGAATTTAAAATCGAATTCGACGTGGAAATCCAACATGACTCCCTTAACCTTTGAAAACTTACTATCGTTCAGACCATGAGATATAATCCATTTGATATCATAAAATAGCAACCAAGAGACCAAACAAAGTAGCATGAAAGGTTTAGATTGTCGTTTCGCCCCTTTGGAGTCGAACTCATCATCAGCAAGGGACTTGAACTAATTCGATTCTCTGATCTAGGGGCCAAATCAGTATACTGTTGATGATTTCTCTATGTGATTGTGTTCTCTGACCTGGATGGTTTAATTGCGAAGTCTTGTCTGGGCAACATGTTCCGTGTGAAGTTCAATATGAAGTGAGCTTAATTGAATTCACCATGAATGATATAATTGTAACTCTTGACAACCTCCTTTGTCGTGATTGGTTGTCAATGTGTATTCGTATTCATCATATTTTATTGACTTTTTTTATCTTTTAGCCTACTCTTTACTACCTGACAAACTTGGTCCCACCCACCCGCCGCCAGCTTACCCTACTGTTTATAAAAACAATCGCATGTGACTCTTCTTAAACAATCACCCCATGAGCTTTACAGCTTAGGATAAACCAAGTATCATTTTCCATGGTATGAGCTGCTAGTGAGTACTAACCAATCCACTCCCACACATGCACACACGGAAACACACATATATATACACTCCCGTAAACAAACAAAATTCTCATATTCTTCACATGCTCTCCTCAACTTTTTTTCTGACGTGAAGTTACCCTGTCGTCAATCGTACTGGAGTGTGAAGATGCGGCTTCACAATGACTTAAGCAATCGACTATCAGCCGATGGTCCCCGAGTTGGAATCTTGCTCCACCAACTACAGTTGGACAGTATCAACAGCAATCACAAAGACAATAAGTGTGTGGTTCATAGCCCAGTTTTAAGCAAACCACAGTATTAAAAGTAATCAAAACGCATTTCTGAAAATAAACGAAACCATAATCTCAACATGACACAAAACGGATCACTTATTAAAACAACTGGACTAACCTCAGGAGCATTGAATAATATCTCTTGCATTTTCGGTCCATTATTTTCAACCCACCAGCTATTCCATGTGTCCAGTAATTCTTCTTCATGTCTTCGACGTTGCCATAAACTTAGTCTAGCCACTAAAATGGCAATATTCTCTTCAGTACTCAATGTACTACTGATAGCTGATGTCTGTTGGCCAGATGATGACGCTGACGTGGATGAATCGATAGTATTTGAGATTAATGAAGCGGTTATACCACCGGTACCAGAACCAGGATGTGTAACATGCTCTAATTCCTCCATGATAGCACGTATCGGTGTTAATTGACGTGAATCACCGGAGAGAAAAAGACGTCCAGAACTTCGACGACGTGTTATACCTAGAAAAAATGATAATTTATAGTTGACAGTTCAATGTCTAAACGACGAATAAGTCATGTATGCATCAATTAGAGATTAATGTTCCTCATAAACGACCTGTTACGGCCTATGGCGGGTAGACTTCTATGTTACTCTCGAAATCCCCTCATGTGGCCATGCGCTCATTGGCTCTGTCAGGTAAGTCTTATTCACCGCCTTCCCGCTGCTGAGCTGTTCCTCACAAAAGTGAAAGAACGAATTCAAACGTTTGTTGCCTACAAATTGATTGGTGGTGGACATGCCGCTATATCTAGAGAAGCTAATAAAACCCTGATTCCAAACTTATGGAGTGCGAAATGGATCCAGAATACGAACGGATTAAATGGTGTATGGAAGCCATGGGAACGTAGCAGCTCCTGACGCTGCTCCACTGGCTTGTGAATCAGGTTTCAAGTCAGAGGCCCAGGGACACAGGTGGCTTTTTAAGACAACCACCTGCTTCAGTCTGGGCGTCTGGGCAGTATTCCAGTCTTCGAACAATCTATGAAATTTTGTGTGGTACACCTCTTGGTGGTTACAATGTACCAAATTTGTGTTTTTAGAATAGGACGAGATAAATATTCAACACAACAGAACTTCCAAATTATTGTGTTTGTGAAGATTTCACTGATTTCATAATAGATATTTTCACAAATTGACACATCAACAGAGAAAAAGAGAAGGCAAGACCACGCAGCACTAGACAGCTGTACCGTCATTCGTATTTACTGAGAAAGAGTCTTGAAGCAGAATGAAGCCGATGTCTAGTACCATCCCTCCCCACACCTGGTTTTCAATGTTTCTCTACGTGACGTTAGTATTCGTGATACATTTACCAAGAGATTATAAGTCTTTTAGTGTGCTTGAGTTCTCTGAGAGCTAGATGGTTTATTGGCAAACTTCTCATTGTCCTCCTAACAACATTTTCAGTGCTAACAAACAATAGTTTTAAGGACGATTGGGGACAATGAACTTTGCAATTATACCATCCAGAGTCCATCACACCTAACCATACATTGAAACATCCATCTATTATTGTAATTATTATTCACTTGGGATCCGGAGGGAAAATAGGACTTCGATAACACATCTTCACTTTGTTCTATTCTTTGCTGTCCTCTTCAGCTGAGTCCATAATCTCTTATTTCCTCCTCAAACGACCCCCTCCCCTATGTTACCGTCAAACCGACGACCACTTGAGCAATGGCCTGCATTGCGCACAATGTCATTCGACGGTCTCCTCAGCAGAGTTACTTGTCACTAATTTTTTCTGGCCAGCCGGCTGATCTGATCTTCAGCATGGAGCCAACGAAGGTGGCAACTGTTGATTAAGATCTGTAACTTGCTGGAAATGCTTTTCGTGACACGCTGGTCAAGTTTCTGACCCGTATAGAATAACTGACTGACTGACTTTTAGTATGGACTCTTCCATGTTCTGTCGTGTAAGATGTGATTTTTGTGGCCATATGGATAACGCTTTGGGTTTTGAAACGAATACTGATGGACTCAAGTCTCAAAGGAGACCGCATCACTTATTGGGGATGCAGATACAGGCGGTTGACGAATGCCGAAGTGGGATGAAATTTTCAACTTAGATTCTGCTGGCAGTCAAGAGTTTCAGCTTAACTAAACATAATTAGGTATTGGTTACAGGATTTCATCATGAACTAACATCGGTTAGAGAACCATTGGAAAACCCCAACAGGGAGTACTGGACAGTCAGCTGCTTCGTTCTATTTTGGAACTCTCCAGCAGTATGCATCCGCCGGGGTTTGAACCCAGGACCTTTTGGTTACAAAGCAAGCACATAGACCATTAAACCACTGGGACCCAATCCGATGACCAACCCACGAATTCCTACTTCTGCCAATTCATGACATAACGCGATTGGGACTAGCCAATGTCATCCGTGGTGAGTAGTTGTCCTCACACCCGATCTGCTGTCATTAGGTATTATAAGACGGTTGGAGGCAATCGACAGGAAACCTTGGAGCTAAGTTTCATGCTTGTTGGCATTCGTCAGAAAAGCGTATTTGCAATTTTGGAGGAAATCATGTCCCTCGTGAGACTCGAACCCGTATCAGTCAGTACTTCACCCAAGGAAGTTCCCACTGGTCTATCCGGGCTCGCGAACGACCTCCTATAGGACCCTATTAGATACTCTGATCGAACAATAGGTAGTCAGTAACTAGTCCTTTGTTTGCTGCAGACTGAATTCTATCAGTCAAGTTCCTCCACGATTACAGATACGCCTTGCTGACGGACGAGTGCCAACAAGTCCAATGCTTCCTGTTGATTGCCTCCAACAATAATTTAGAGTGCACCACAGTGGCGAGCCATCTGGCATGGTGGCCACACATTGCAAACTTGACTGAGAGAATTCAGTCTACACCAAACAAAGGACGAGAGGCATGACACTAGTAACTAACTAGTGTTCAATTAAAGTATAATTAGGTATATTGAGTAAGCTAGCTAGATAGTAATGTTAACTCATGTTAACAGACACAACAACAATTTTAGAAAAAATACGGAGACACACAGAGAGAGAAGCGAACATTAAACAGATTCACTGATTAGAAATTTCTTAATACTACTCACCGCAATCGAGTAATTCATCTTCAGCAGTACCGAATCCAAGGGTTGACTGTATAGATGCTTTATTACGAATTTCACTAAATTAGAAAAATAATGAACAGAAAGAGAGAGAAAGAGGCAGAGGATTTAAATAAACCTCAAATAGAGTATTTACAGAAGGGACTGGGTAAGGCGGGGGCGGGAGTGATTACACAAGCACCACATAAATCACACAACTTAGTATTGTGGTGAGAGCAAGCTGCTAGCCAATTGGTAGACATTGATCTACGCTGATTGGTGGAAATTAATCTGGGCTGATTCAACAACCGATCACAGCTGACCTAGACGTGGACAAATATGATTCGCAGACAAGTGGCTCGCATTTCCGAGAAATATCGAAAACGAGAAAGCAGAAGGCTGCGTTTGTTTGCAAACAACCAATCAGAAGACCGCCTTCTTTCTGCGGGCAGAGCCTTATTAATGTACGTAAAAAACATATAAATACCTGTTGGTTTTCGTAATAAAACTGATCTGTTGCCTGGCCCTTGTCTTCTGTTGTTACATTTGGTGTCGCTGCCTACCGACAAATGGAAAGCCTATGCCCTGCAGTTTTTGATGAAGACATATGGATCTTCGGGCAGGACTTTGAGGCTTATTCGCAGTTGAGTGGCGTTCAAGATCTGTCAGCGATAAGGCTGCTACTTGGGACGCTGCTGGGAGGTCGGGAGAAAGCAGCATATGGAAGTGTGAGGCGAAATACCTACGAATGTGCGACAGGGTCAGGCAAACAGTTTCCAAAGTGGGAAGGACCATATATGGTCACGTTGAGATGGGGTAACGCAGACACAATCGCAATGGTAAACACCGCTAAACAAGTGGACATCCGCAAGCGCCGAGATTCCAGACAGCAAGATAACAGAGCAAAGCCCCAAGAACCGAGAAGACCGAGCCGAATTCAGTCCAAGCTATTTGACGGGGGGACGAGTGTGGTGAGAGCAAGCTGCTAGCCAATTGGTAGACATTGATCTACGCTGATTGGTGGAAATTAATCTGGGCTGATTCAACAACCGATCACAGCTGACCTAGACGTGGACAAATATGATTCGCAGACAAGTGGCTCGCATTTCCGAGAAATATCGAAAACGAGAAAGCAGAAGGCTGCGTTTGTTTGCAAACAACCAATCAGAAGACCGCCTTCTTTCTGCGGGCAGAGCCTTATTAATGTACGTAAAAAACATATAAATACCTGTTGGTTTTCGTAATAAAACTGATCTGTTGCCTGGCCCTTGTCTTCTGTTGTTACAGTATGACAGAACGTAATTATGACTATTTGTTCCCAGTGAGCTATGGTTTTTCTGAACTCACTTACTTGGAAATGATCTTTCATGAGGCATTCGCACGAGGCTATTGTTGTAGACATTCATCACTAACTGACTGACTGACTGACTGACTGGTTTCAACGTAGAACTACTTTGAATAAATGTGCAGCAGTTTAACTTGCTACACTCCCTCCATGTAACACACAAAGCGTGAGAAGTAGGTAGAGAGATTCAAGAGAGAGATAATAAACAGAAGGGTGAGTGAGAGGAAAAAGAATAGGAATATGGGAGAACAACATAGTTTTATTGGATATTGTAAATCACAAAGAGTGAATACATCTACGCCAGCCAGTGACAACGATTTTGAGCCATGTCATAAATTGTCTCCAGCCTTCATTGGTTCTTACCATCCCGAGGAACCCAACCAGGAAGCTAGTCCACACCTACCTACGTGACTGGCTGGCTTAAACTAACTGTTGTGGATTTCATTCACTGAAGTCATGTTTTGGTTTGATCACCACTAATATTCTCCTTCCAAACTTCATCCATTCTACGTCAGCTGACATTGCCCATTGTCGAGGAAGGCGATGGCTAGGAATGCATGCATAACACATGCCCTAACCATCTCAATCGATGCAACTGCTTCACAACCTTGTCTATTAATTTCCCCCTCCCTCCTTACCTAGTACTCGACTGATGTCTAACCCCAATATTGCTCACCTTATTATACCACGTAACACGGGAGATAGAACACAGATACCTATGCTCAAAGACATCTAGTCAGCCTTTTCGTATCTTCCACTTTCAATGTTCATGCCCCACATAGCCATAAAGAAGGACGCAGCGGACTGCTGAGCAGTACACACACGCCCTTTGGTTGATAGCCAAATATCAAGTCTACTAAACCAGAGATGGCGTAAACTGGCATGTGAGAAACGAGCCTGATGTATTTGTACTGAGATTTCGTCAGCGATCAACCCACTGGCGTTGGCTGATGCAACTCCCCAAATAAGTGAAGTGGTCAACATGTTCCACCAACCACTTCACTTTCTCCCTTTCTTTAAGCTAGGAGTAGTCGATGTAATCCAGTCCTGAAGCATTATCTTACATTTGACTGGAGCGAATCGCATGCCAAACATTCGCAGATTGCTGCTCCTCAAGGTGTTCAGAAGACTGCTCTATTTTGTCAGTGTCTTCACTTAGAAGCACTATATCATCTGCATATTCTAAGTCAACGAGATTATTCCCTATGTCGCTGAAGATCAGTTAGGGTTAAGTCTATTAGTACAATATCTATGAAGTTAAAGAGAAATGGGGACAGTGGGCATCCCTGATGGACACCACTGGCTGTCACCACTTCAGATGACAACTCTCCGTAATCTCTTACCTGACTGGCTGCATGAGTTCGAGCAGAGTGCCTTGGTCAGTGCGTACCACCTATATACTTCTCAGTCTGGCACAACTTCCCTACTTGGACATTGAAGTCGCCTGCTAAAACAACTATATCTGAGCGTTTTGCTTTTTGCAGCAAATTAGACAGTTTTTGTTAGAAGCCATTCTTTAGTTCATCAGAACTGCAGTCGGTTGAATCGTAAGCGGAGACTACGAAAAGACAACGACGGGTAACGCCGTGCTTCCTTCTTCTAACGGACTCGTTCAGACAGACCGCACACATACGACTATCCACCGGGATCCAGTCAAGAAGAGATTTTTCTGCCCCAACACTCAATGCTATCTCTACACCTGCGAGTCCTCACGAACTAGCTGACGAGTCTCCTGACACCCTTAAGGTGAATTCTGCAGATTCACTTTGTTGGCTGGATGGGGTTAAGTGAATAAGCACACTCGGGTCTTGTATGCATTCATCAACATCTGTCATAGCTCAATAGTGATAAGCAACAAGGAACTCGGGCAGTCCACCGAGTCACTGCTTTGCTTGATGAGCAATATCAGCTGACATATGATCAGGTTGGAAAATACTTAGGTGTAATCAAACCAAAACTTGGAATCAGACACCATGATGTTGATTTAAGCCAATTAGGGAGATGTACAAGCTGCATGTTGGGCTCCTCGGGATGCTGAGAACCAGTAGCTGGCTGATATGACTCAAAACCGTTCTCCAAGGCGCAGATGCATTCATTCTCTGTGTGACCTCTGAGATTTATTAAACCCTCATGTTTCTCCATGTCACTATTCTTCCACATCAGCTGGTCACTGTTCTTTTTTCTCCCTCTTCTACACCTTTCTGTGCTACATGGAGTTTGGTAACTTGAACCTCTGTACTTTTGTGAAGATTTCTACGTCACAACAACCTCAGGCTGAGGTTAGATGGGGCAGAAAATGGACTTAAATTATTGTTCATTTCAGAGGTAAATGTCATAAATGTAAAAGTATGTGGATATATTAAAGAGGATTGTAAAAAGGGAACATAAGATGTGATCTATAAAACAAGAGTATATTGTTTCCAACCAAGCTTTACTAACCCTTCTTGTCTAGAACAGGTTAACAGCATATCTAGGTCGCTGGTAGCTCAAATGACAAACCTCATTAATTCAACACTCTGAATACAGTCAAACGGCATATCCTCTAGATGAGTTTGACTTCAAACGAACGAAAAGTCAGTCTAGAGATTAGATTTAGCTGGATCCGGCTTGCATGTATGGTCGCCCAATATTGTTGCACATTCTACCAGCTACATTCAGTGAACTATGACTGACTGACTGACTTTAGAAAAGTTTAGTGTGTTTATGAAAATGTGTATGACCAGTTCGCGGTTCACCGTTGCCGACCACCCCCGTCTCTCCCAAAAATGGGAAGGTAGGATAGCTAGCTTGGTTGTCATCTGAGAGAAACACTTGACTGATGTTGCAGATGACATAGTCCTGTTAGGGGGGATGCTGACAAAATGCAGTCTTCTGAACACCTTGAGCAGCAATCTTCGTATGTTTGGCATGCGATTCGCCCCTGTAAAATGTAAGATGCTGCTACAGGACTGGACTACGTCAACTCCTAGCTTAGTGATAGCGAGTGAAGTGATAGAACATGTTGACCACTTCACCTATTTGGGAAGTTGTATCAGCACCAACGGATTCATTGGTGACGAAATCTCAGCACGGATCAAAAAGCTCGAGCTGCTTTCGCTAACTTACACCACCTATGGCGTAGGCGTGACATTCGGCTATCAAACAAGGGACGTGTGTACTGGCCAATACGAGTTGAAGACATGAAAAGGTTGGCTGTTTTTAACCACAGATGTTTACGATCTCTTTCTCACGTTAGGTGGTACAATGAGGTAAGTAATGTTGACGTTAGGTGTAGAGTGTTGGGCAAAGAGGGAAATTCAATCGAAGAGGCTATAAAGTTACATCGATTGAGATGGTTAGGACATGTTACGTATGCCTAGTCATCGCCTTCCTCAACGGGCAATGTTAGCTGACATAGGGTCAAGCTGGAAAAGAGCTAGCGGCGGTCAAACCGAAACATGGCTTCATCACTCAATGAAATCAACAAGTCAGTTTAAGCCAGCCAGCGACGTAGGAAGATGTAGACTTCCTGGTTGGGGTCATCGGGACAGTAAACACCAATGACTGGAGACAATCGGTGATATGGCTCAAAATCGTTTTCAATGAATAGCGCAGATGCATCCACTCCTTATGACTTATAATTTCCAATGAAACTACATTGTTCGTCGTTATCACTTCTATTTTTGTTTCATATCCCTGTCTACTGTCTCTGTTTTGCATTCCTTCTACTTTCTTCTCTTGCTTTGTGTGCTACAAATGGAGTGTGACGACTTGAACTGCTCCACATCGGTGCGAAGTTCTATGTTGAAAACAGACAGACAAACAGACTCCGTACACAATGTGCATGACTTACACTATGATGTTACCTGCTTTTAGTCTAACCGTTATCAAAACAACCTTTCTCGCATAATTAGGACCTGTGGGAACATCAGTTCCAACCAGTTCGTTAGGTCATTGAAATATGCCAGACTGAGCAACGTAGCAGCAGCTATTAGTCAGACTATGACCTTTCAGTGTACATGACTCCAATTTTTTTAAACACTCATTGATAAAACTTCAAAAAAATAATAATAATTAAAAGAACTTACGGGGATAACAGTTGAAGTTTTTGTTCAAATAATAATTCCAATTTTTCAGCACAACGTCCAGCACGTGATGAAATCCCATGAGTACGATAACAATTTAACAGCATTAAACGGAAATCACAGACAAACTCTCGAATACCTCGATAAGTACCATTGATGAATTTTTCATTCACTAAGAAGAAGAAGAAGTTAAAGGAAAGAAAGGGAGGCATTGACGAAGACTACCACATACTATCAAAGTATTAAAAATATAATTAAAAATCATACCTTGATGAAGAATAATAGATGTTGTCAAAGTGATTAAGACGTATGTACTTAATGTCAGGGAGTTTCAACAACACAAATCAATTGAAATAATAAAGATTTGGAGGACATGTGATTGTTTGTTGGTATTATATGCTTCCAGGTCTACATGATTCTATCGACACAGCTCCACACTGAAGTTAGAACTGGAGATAATGTCCAGAAGGATAAGGACAACCACACAATTAAGCCATCCAGAGCTCAGAGAACACTATAACACCGTAAAAACAAATCACTTGCCTAAGCAGATATAGAGTCGAACCTGTAACTTGACATAATTGTTAACAAACTCAACCCAATGTGATACTGCTCAGCCAATAGTGGGGTTAGACAGGGTTGCCCAATCTCACCCTTTCTTTTTAACTGTGAAAGACACGTGTGACGGAGACACACGTTACCACCCCCAGCATGCAGACAATATAGTCCTACTGCGCCATAACATGCAGGCAAGCTAATCAATTGACGATCAGTGTCTGTAAGTATGGTATGTCCTTTGCGCCATCTAAGTGCAAAGTATTGTTGCAAGATTGACAGGAGCCTGTATCTAAATTCACCCTCGCAGGTGAACCGCTTGAAGTTGTCAATAAGTTTCTGTGTCTAAGTAGTTGTGAAAATACTGGAGATGTGATGGATGAGATATATAACCGTATAGTGGAAGTCAGAACGACATACACTAACTTGGGCAATCTAGGACGTCGCAACAATGTCAGCCTAATTGTCAAAGTTCGGATTTACAATACTTCATTGCAAACAGTCTTACTCAACGCCTTTGCAACCTGGTCACTCCGAGAGCTGAGAATGTGTAGAGACTCCGAGTGTTGGATCACTTCTGTCTTCGTAGTATTGCTTGCATCTAGTGGTAATATCACGTACGAAAATCCTGACCTCCGATAGTGTGTTTGGACATAGTGGAAGTCATATTTCATCTCGGAACATCGACTTCGGTAGCGCTGAAAAGTGCTACGAATGTCATCCCAACGGCTTCCATACAGCCAGCTGTTTGCTAACCCTGTGACTTAGTGTAAAGAGTGGATGGATGGTAAGCCTATGACGTCGCACCGTGAGGTAAAGGACAGTTATGTTACGCCAAAATTTGTTGGTGCATCAATACTCCCTAGGTGGAGTCCATGAAATAATTCACACAGTGGCTTAAGATGTTATCATACATGGCCAAGAATCATAATCAATGCCGAACTTGTCACGATTTCTTCCCTTTCTGAAAGTAAAATTGATGTAATGAACCATCCTTTGAATGATGTTGACTAATAATGCTTACTTGCTTTCTAGATCTTGTCTTCCGTTCACTCTGTCCTTATATTGTTTTATTATTTTTTGTGTCCGGTGCATCACTTGTTGCCCATATTATAACCAGTCAATGTTTCATTTACACTAACTAGTAAGGATGAATTGTGTAACAGATATTATTAACTGACTCCTAATAACCATCATAGAGATAGTCTAAAACTGTGGCTCCGCGCAGCTATGAATTCAACACCTGCTTTTATGCAATAATCACTTACTTTTGTTGAAACACATCGGTACCATTCCTGTGCTTCTAAAATCATTGTTCCATTTTATCGAGTCAGTCTCATCCATGAATAAATAATTCACATGGGCATGTTGACGTGACATTAAAGTCTCAAGAATTTCCCAAGACAGCTTCACCTCCGGGTTCTTTTCTATCAGATTCATGGTTTTGAAATTAAGAATATTGCATAGAAGTCAAACCTGAAATAAACAGTACAAGAAACTTATTAGGTATGTGTGCAGTGTACACAGAGATAATAAAACGAAATAACTGCGACAACTATCAGACTACGTCTCCTGACTGACTAACTGACTGACTGGTTTCAACAGAGAACTTTGCACCGATGTGCAGCAGTTCGAGTCGCCACACTTCACTCAGCACACAAAGTCAAGGAAGGAAGTAAAAAGAAAAGCAAAATACAGACACCAAACAGAGATTTGAGGCAAAAAGAATAGTAGTATCGAAGAAAAATGTAGTTTTATTGGGTATTATAAGTCACAAGGAGTGGATGCATCTGCGCCATTCATTGAGAACGGTTTTGAGCCATATCACCAATTGTCTCCAACTACTGGTTCTTACCGTCCCAAAGACCCCAACGAGGAGGTCAGTCCACACCTCCCTACGTGGCTGACTGGCTTAAACTAACTGCTGTGCATTTCATTGACTGATGAAGCCATGTTTTGGTTTCACCACCAGTGGCTCTTTTCCAGCCTGACCCTATGTCAGCTAACATTGCCTATCCGTCAAGGAAGGCGATGGCTAAGCATACGTAACACATGTCTTAACCATCTCAGTCGATGTAACTTCACAACGTCGTCTATTGATTTACCTAGCACTCGACGCCCAACCTCAATATTGCCCACCCTATTAAACCACCTCTACGGGAGATAAGTAGAATGCAGAAACCTATGATGAAAGACAGCTAGTCGGCATTTTCATGTCTTCCACATTCTCAATGGCCATACCCCACACACAGCCATAAAGGAGGACGGAGTGGACTGCCGAGCAGTACACCCGCCCTTCGGTCGACAGCCAACCGGATATCACGTTTACGCCAGAGATGGCATAAACTGGTATATGCAAAACTAGCCCTCTGTATCTGTACTGAGATTTCATCAAAGATAAACCCGTTGGCGCTAGCTGATGCAACTTCCCAAATAAGTCAAGTGGTCAACACGCTCCATCAACCACTTCACTCCCTATTTGTAAGCTAGGAGTCAATGTCTCCTAAGAAAGAGGTTAAGATTTCTCCATCTATTTGTATCCCAATTCGAACATACAATTTCGAAGCTTTTCTACGCTTTGAACTTTAAGAAGTGGTTGTGTTATTTTTACGGGGTGGAGTTGATAACCTGACACCCGATCTTCCCTTCTTCCCAGACTTACTCCCAGCCAGAAAATTAGATGAGGTTGAGGAGTGCGTCGGCCAGGAATAGAACCCGGGCCATTTGAGTAAGTGACTGGCGAGCATTTTACTATTGGACCACTGACGCACTTAAAATATTAAGATAGACTATATCATTACTGAACTGTTGCCGTGTGGTGACAATACAAACTTTACATAATAACACCTCAAACCTAGTTGTTCAACATCATGGCACTATAAAGTACATAAAATTCACAAAAGATATACACTCTAAACTGAAAAGGAACAAAGAAATGAATAGATACGAAAATATTGCAGATTTTAGGGTAACTTGACAGGTAAACTGATTATTTTAAGTACGTAACCAAACAACAATGGACGGAGTTGTGCGAGGGAGAAGAACAGTTGGGAATAGTGAGAATCCACAGAACTTTAAAGATAAATAGGGTATGTGCCACGAAGAATTACTTCGAATCCTTGCAACAAGTCTGCAACCTCTGAGGCTAAACACCCCGAAAACTCCAGTTAAGTAATGACTTCATAGACCAATGTCATGTTTTCGCCTTACCACTCCTAAATCTTTTCCAAACTCATCATACTTCAATCAATACTACCAACCACAGAAAGTGGTAGTTTGATATGTGTAAACATTCTTCATGGCACTTCATAAACAATCACAGACGGTAGGTCCATTAAGGTTCAAAACAGCTACCCACCAGCTGAAAACCAGCTATTTAGATAAAAAATTATAGTGATTAAAGTTCGTTTAGTTAGCCTGAAGAATATATCACTACTAAACCTTCTTTTCCAACCCAATCCGAAGTCAGTCAATATTATTTATCGAAGACAGTGGCTCGGTATGAGCATCACACGTTTCAAACACCTTAATCAATGAAGATACACAAACTAATCAATTGACTTGCCCTTCTTACCTAACACTAATTATAATCTGAAAATTACCCACCACGTGGCTTCAATAAACAAAGATATGTATGATCAAAAATCTCCACTCTTTAAGTCTTCAACTTTCTGTAGCTTATCTTATAGTCATGAAGTAGAACAGAGCAACCTTCTGCTTAGTACCCATACCTGGATACCTTGTATGCATAAGAGAAAAAGCAAGCCGGCAAATACCAAAAGAGCCATTGGTATTTGTGTTGACACTTACTGAGGAACCTATCCACCAAGAATGATGCAGATTGCCAAATACACCACCACACTGGTGAATAATTATCGATTTTGGCCTCCAAAGCCTCAGGATGGTCGGGGGTGGGTGCCTTGCACTGCGGGTTGGCCACCCCTCCACACACCTCTTGAAATGCTCCCATATGACCGGGCGTCTTACATAGCCTCTCCTGAGGAAGTCCTACTCACTGCCTTCACGTGGCAGAGGTGTTTTCACCAAAGTGAGAGGGCGAAAGCGGATGCCCGGCGCTCTTCACCGGGTTGACTGTCCATTGGAGGACAGTCTAGGGGAGATGGCTAAACCCTGATTCCAAACCTCCAACGACTGGCGTATGAAGCTCACCGGCAGACGTATGAACAAAGGGCTTGTTGGATGTCCTGGATGTCTGGCCCCATTCAAAAAGGCGTATGAACCGAACTCCGGTCACCGGCTGACAATGGATAGTGGACTCCCTACTGCCTTGTAGGTCACACTTGGTTGTGTAAAGGCTAGAGCTGCACTCTCAAACAAAAGGCCGAGCGATTCTGGGGACATCACTCGTACCAAATTCCCATGAAACTTCATGAACTCTCTTACAAACGACTCTCACCATGCTACGGCGTTCCCGGTAAGCGACGCGCCCTGTGCTCACCCGGTGGCCAGTGTGAAAAGTAAGCCTGGGCAGCGATGATTCGAGATGTTCATGAAGCCGGCTCATCCTCCCGTAGGAGATAGCCGAAGTAAAGAAAGAAGAATGACCTGCATTATTGTGTCCAAAGTTTGAGGTTCCATAATGACTCCTCGACTAAGTCGTGCTCGAGAGAAACAAACCCGGGGAAACCAGACAGGCCTTAGGCTAGGAGGAGAAAAGATAAATCATATCTTTTCTTGTGTTGTGGTATAGTGTGTAAGCAATATTGAGGTCAGGCGTAGAATGCTAGGTAAGGTAAGAAGTCACCTATGAGGTTGTGAAGATACACCGGATGAGATAGCTTGGATGCGTGCTGCGCATGCCGAGCCAATATTTTCGGAATTATTTGACATAGGATTAGGTTAGGAATGAGTCAGAAATAATCAAATCAAAACTTGGGACCGATCCATGAAGCATCTGACAGTTGGTTTGGTCTAACCACGTAGGGAGTTGTAAACTTTCCGGTTGGGAACCTTGGAGTGCTAAGAACCAACGACTTTCCTTTCTCCACCATTGCGTGCTAAATGAGGTGTGGCAACACTTCTGCACTAAGTTCTACGTTGACACACAGTCGTTCAATTAGTCTGCATTACTGCAGTAGTTCTACCACACATGTTGGCAGACTTCACTAGAACTTTAGGTACAAAAACAATTGATTCTCAGATGATATTCATAGGATGAGACAATATGTAAGTAAACCAAGGAGATTATAATGCCTCAAAAACATGCTTTAAAAATATCAGAGAACATTACAAAGTCAATAACATAGAACCCAGTTACCCAGAAGAGATTTTCCATGTATCAAGCATTGAGTCATCTTAACATATTATTAAGCATATCTATAAGTTTTGTTCAAATTTTCGCCTGTAAATGTTATTCAAGAAATGGGGAGTAATGAGAATAAGAGTAAACTAAATTTTCCACATTTTGAATGCAAGCATTATGTGGATTAGTTTTCAACAATCGATTCCAATGACTTTCTTCTACAACTAACACAGCGATTAAGTCATCATTCATGTTTTAAAACAAATTCAGAGAAAATGCACTTATATAAATACCTACCATGATCATAATACTAACTTAGCTATAAGTATTCATATATGCGACTTAATACAAGATGGTATCATATATGCGGTCAATGGAAAAAATGAATGATAAAATAAATGAACTGAAGACTAGATAACCGACTAGAAAAGATAAGCTGCAATGAACTATGGCTGCCGGCGAGCCAGCCAACAGCCTACTGTCCAACAAATATGTAGACAGAAATACATATGGACCTGATATACACTGAGGAGACCATTGAGTAACATCATGCGCTAAGCGCTCAAGTGGAAAACGAATGGGAAACGATAAGTACGGCGTCTGACGGTGACATGGAAATCATGAAGTCAGCTCCAAAATACAACAAAGAAGAGAGCATTATATTCCAGTGGGAACGCGGAAGGGGAATAGAAGGGAAAATACAAATTAGGAGTAATTAATGCATGAAAAGCAAGTGCATTTCATAAATCAAAATGTAAAATACGTGACCTTCGCCCTGTCCTCAGATATATCCAAATATCAAGAAAACTCATTAACCAAATGCCTCATAAGACAACAACTGATGGAAACGACAAGTGACAAGTCTTGGACTGCACAACGCCTGCTTTTCAATGCTAAAAATCACAAAACGTAAAAATCCTTTTGGGTCCTGCTATATGACAGTTTGGATAATGCAGAGAGGATAAATCTGAACAGTTTCAGAACGCTATCATATTGAATGTACATTAGTTTCATCCTGGACACTCGATCAACTATTCGAACGAACGCACGACTTGTGGTTAATAATCATTAAACCTTCTACACAGACGGCATCTATGACAGTTTGTGGGAGTAAACGCCCGGCCATAAACAAAACCTGGGGCTTTCCTACAAGTTGTTCACCTTAAACTGCAACTTTCTTTGACTTAATTACCAGTCAACATTTTGCTTAAAATGATTACATTAATACACACTTGTCATATTAACTTTACCTAAATGGATTACGGTCAATAAAAAATATTATCAAGTATGGAAAGTCGTTTTCTTGAACTCGTTCAACATTATCAGAGGAAACGGCGGAGACATATGGCAAAACAAAAACTCCTAGTAGTTTAGACTCTCTTCACTCTCCCTACGCACCCGGATACATGAACAGCCCGCCAAAATATTGGCCGGAGTGTAACGCACATGTTATTTTGTACGCTCTTCGCAAATTCACGTGCATAAATTGCTTCAATTTCTGTTGATTAAAACGGCAAATTCACCTCTGAGTTTTGGAACGTAAAATTTGGACTCAACTACTTTGTCAATAACACAGCGTGAACAACTTATTCATCGATATATTAAATTAGATTGTCTGATTTTCACCTGTTAGGAATGCATCGTTTACAAGAGCATAAACTAGAAGGAAATTGCATCCTCCTGACACATGTGCCGATTTATAGCAGCGTAAACAGAAGTGAGCACTATATCCCCGACTTAAGAGACCGGTAGTCAGTTAAGACTCAATGAAAAAGTCAGGTGAATATTGCAACTGATCTTGCCAACTTATCCATCGACCATTGGTTGCCAGTGGTTGTCCCTCTCTTTTGTGGGAACTAGCTGGAACACAGCTTATAATAATGTTTATTCTAGCAGTACCTTACGAGAGCGACGTCAGTTTATGGGCAAGATCAAACAGATACAAGCAGTAAAACTATGTAATTCAGTCGAATTTTACATACAGTAGTCTGGACACACTTTAAAAGTTCATAGGCATTGTTTAGATAGATAACATAAATATTAATCGCAATAATACTAAACGGCCTCATGTTCATGTATCTGCTTTCATGTATATATAGCCAGACTTGTTTGTTTTAGTGGGCCGTAATCAATGAGTGGGCGCACACAAACCTAGTATGGAATAATTCTGGATTTTTGTAGAAGCTCCTGAGTAGAAAACAATAGGACTGCGCGATTTCCACACTTGTTTGATGGCATGCTCTGGAAATGATAGATCATTTGAATATTTCACTCTCAAGTGTAGTATCGATTCGAGCTTGGGGAATTTATGGCCTTGAGTTTCTAGGTCAGGTCCTGGGTTGGTTTCACTCTTTAGTGGGAGGGTAAATATTCTAAGTAACAGGATTATTGTATTCATGTCACCTGTTTTGTATATGATATATGGAATGTTTTCTGTTCCTTAACTACCTTCGGCTTTTAGTGTCCTAACCGCTGAGGCAATATTCTGTATATCAAAGTTGATGTCGCATAACCTGTAGTTATTTTAGCAGGTCATTCTGGGAATTGGGAATGCGTGCTCTTTGATGTCATTGGAAAACCATTCACTAAGGATTTCACTGATAATCTGAGGATCATCATGAATTGTACTTTCATATTCCAAGTAGCTTACATTGTGGCTTTCGCTGTTTTTTAGATATATTTGCAAAATCATGCATAGTTCCTGAGTTTTCTACGGGCCTTCAAGGGCTTCATTTCCGTCAAATTGTGCCATCATTTTTTCTCCCCTCAAGACGTCTAAAGGCTTCATGTATCTTCTGCAATGCATTAAATTCTTCAAATACATAGAGCTTCCTTTTAATTTCCTTAGTTTCAATTGTTTTGTGGTCTATAAATAAATTTGGTGCCTTTAGAGAAGATTTGAAGGTCGCAGTCGTGCCTCTTGCAGAACTGATAAACTTGTAGAATATATTAACTGTTACTCTTCAATTATTATTTCCAAAGTATTCTTTCCAGTGCGAACTTCTTAAAAGCACTGGTAGTGTCTCCATATTGGCATTAATATACTCTATATACTGATAGTACAATGGGGAATTTTTAAACGTGTATTTAGTTATTAATCAAAGAGATTGTGTGCAGTACGGTATGTCAGGATCACTTCTACCTCATCTCTTCCCTACTCCTATCTGAATTAGCTTTATTTCGTGACAGGAGATTAAGTCGAGGATATGGCTATGTAGTGTTGGAAGCCGAACGTCTACACCCCGCATATATAGCTTCCGGAAGTTCATCTTGAATTCTAGATCCTTTGCATGTATAGCTCTTCTCTCTCCATGGAGACTGAAATAGCAGCAAACTACTTTGTAGTCGAAGTTCGGTATAGGCGCATGCTCCAGTATTTCTTCAATAGCCATTTCACACGCTTCAGGTCTATTAGGCGCTCTGTGCATACGTCCCATAAAAATTTTAATTTAATTTGTGCAGATGCCTATCCACCTAGATAATGGGACTTTGTAAGGAGTTCAGTTGGTGAAAGTACTGGAGTCAGTGAATTTAGAGGCATATACTGGGCATACGCCTCCTCTTTTGTCAATTCTATCATTCCCGTGTGTGTCGCAGATATCAATTACCAGCCTTATGTCAGGTAAATCACTAGTTAGCGAGGTTTCAATTACCACGATTATTGTTGACCCTCCAATGTATACCAGGCTGAGAAGAGACATTCTTTTGTCAAGCAACGATAGAACAATTAGGAACATAACAGTTAAAGAACATGAGTCGTTTGATAGATAGTTAATAAGATTTCGTGTTACCACCCCCTAACTCCTGGAGAGATTCTAAGATGAGAGAGAATACAGTGCGTACTGTTTCCTGAATGAAGTGTGCCGCAAGACGGACTACTGTTCGCAGGAACTAGAAATAGTTCTCGTGCATATACAGAATTTAAGCATCAGTAGATGAGCATATGAAACCATTTCTTGGTATTATATAGCTTGTTTTACTGTCCACTTTGCAATTGACAAGGCCGGAGTACCCCTTTGTCAGACTGTCTTGTGAGTGGCATCTGCTAGGTCTTCTGCGGTTGCATTTACGTTGACCCATATCTCGCTTGTACCTAGAGGGGCTGCTATCCAATCTGCATCCGTTATGTTGATGATAGTTTACACAACTGTTGCGAGAGACTGGATATTAATTTTCACTCACTAGGTACCTAAAGATGTCCCGTTAAGTCTCCTGTACGCTTTTATAATTCGTTTTTGGCTTCTTTCCCGACTCATGGGTACTGTTTGCATTTTACGGTCCCAGTTATTATGGAAGTCGTGGATCTCATTCTGCCGTTTATTCAAATCGGTGTCCCTTGAATGTCTTCTAACTCGTGGTTTCGTGGGGACAGGGTTATTTCTACAATTAGCGCTCGCCTCATATAATCGACTGTCCACACTTTGGTTTTTACTTTTAGTTCGAAGAACAGAAGTTTTGTTCGCGTTCTCCGACTCCTTTTATAACCTTGCGTTATGCGTGCACTTTTATTTTCTGTGTTGAAATGCAGTCTGTTATACTTATCGCCTGGGAGGCATTTGGACGGCCGTGGGGAGACTCTGGGCTTCTAAGTCCCTTTTACAGTTTCTGCTGTGAAATTCTCTGACTTGGTTCTGAGTGAGTTGTGGTCCGTAGTTGCTGGTTGTCCATGGTAGAAGCGCCCATGACTAGTTAATGCATAGGGTCGGTAGATTTCCCAGGGGTGCATCCATAGACCTTAAGAATCCCCCCAGTGGTACTGCTTCGTTTAGGTTCAACACTTGTATATGATTTGTTCACCTAATATATACACGCATCTCTGTGTGATTCAGCGTCCTTCGATACTTTAGCAGTGAAGTCAGACATGTTTTGTATCAAAGGTGTTCTTGGCGACTGGATGCATTGCATATACCCACCATCTGTGGCTTTAATGTCCGTTGCTACGTTGGTTAAGTAACAAGTTGTGTTTTTACATGCCCTTTAAATGAAATTTCGCGCTAAAAACCTTTCTGACTCACAAAATATCGGCGACATAATGTACTTGAACTGCGTAACATTTACCTCAATTGTATCAGGAAATGTTGCTTGATACTTATATCTGCTCATTGCGATGGATTTAATAAGGCAGAAAGTTCAAAGTTCAAACGTTTATTTTTGAATTTTCATGGGATCATACCTATTTACTAGGTCCATTTATTGAAACGCTATTGTCTTAATTGGTTTAGTAATTGTTGGTATTCATAGCTCAGTTTCAGCACTAATTTCAGTTTTCATTTTCTCATCCTAATCTGATTTTCATTTTAAGGCACAAAGTACTAGCACTATGGGCACAATATGTGGCATTGTTATAAAGTAGTTTTTCAAGTGACCCTTTAGGGGAAGACTTAATTGCTACAGTGTTCTGATTTCATAAACATAACCTAGGCTCATACAGGAGAGGATATTAATGTCTTGGTTGAAATAAGGGCAAGTTGTGTTGCAGGTGAGTAAGACTTAATTTTTCAGTTTATTCGTGTAAATAACATTCCTCATTGAGTTTCACTGCAATTCCACGTTGGAGCAAAAGATTATGAATGCCTTCCCCTCTCTTCTGCATAAGGAAGTTAATAACACAGGAAATACTTCACAAGACTCTCCATATTAGCTTAAATAAGGACAAACAGAAGTATTTCCACTTCTGTGTTATGGGTGAACTGGGTAGGTTTTTACAGTAATACAAGGACACAAGAACACTTTATATTGAAACCAAAAGTATACATGTTTTAATAAATCTTACTCACTTCCTGTATAGACTTGATGTTCGTCAAAAGTTCATTCGACAAATGCGGAATTTTGAAACCAAGCTAAAGTTATAACTCGTAATTCTAAGCATTGCTGTCATTTTCATTTGCAGCAGTTCACAATCTATTGAGTTTACACAACCTCGATACCCATTTTTCACTTTAATGAGGAAACACTAACTGGTTGTTTTGGGAAGAAAGTACGCCAATTTGTGAATTTCATGAATTCTACAGATTGCATTCTATTCACCTTATATTAAAACTAAACTATGAGTTGTGAGAAGTGCCCATTGAATTTGGGGGATATTAAAATACTTCTGGTGTTTGGTCGTAGATGTCTGTTCCTTATCCTCTGTGTGAGTAGTATAATATGGTCAGTAATGGTGGAGTTAGGCATACAGTGTTAGGTAGAGATGTGACTCCAAATCGTTGTCGATGACACAAATGCATTCACTCTGTATAATCTCAAGTATCCAATCAAACTTATGTTTTTCCTTGCCACTATTCATCCTCCCTCACATTTGTGCTCATTAAAGTTCTATGGAATGTGCTACCTTGAACAGGTGCACTTATGTGCAAGCATCAACGTTGAAAGTCAGTCAGAATGACATGTAGTCTACGTATAATTCTCCTTTTATTCCAGATAATTTTCA